TCTGTCCGTCCGTCCGTCCGTCCGTTTCTACGCAAACTAGTCCCGCAGTTTTAAAGATATCTGCTTGAAACTTTCCCAAAAGTTGTATTTCTATTGCTGGTAGTATATAAGTCGGGACGAGCCGGATCGGCCGACTATATACTATAGCTGCATATAACTGAACGATCGGAAAGGACATAACTTTGGTATTTTTAAAGTTAGGAAGTTGGGATTTTTTACGGGTTTTATATTTGGCCAATCAATCCGACCTACCAAATTTCATAAGGATCGGTCGACTATATCCTATAGCTGCCATAAAACTGATTGATCGGAAATTCCATTACTTGGGTGTTTGTAAAGTTAGGAAGTTGGGATTTTCTGTGGGTTTTTTTTTTGGCCAATCAATCTAACCTTTTAAGTTTCAAAAGGATCGTCCGACTATATGCTATAGCTGCCATATAACTGAACGATTGGAAATGCTATTACTTTGGTGTTTTTAATGTTAGGAAGTTGGGATTTTTTAAGAGTATTAAGAATGCATCATATGAATAATTTTGGAGAATATAATTTACAGAATATTCTGCAAGGGTATATCAACTTTTACTTTTCTGTTTAATACTCCCCACAAGTGATTAAATGGGTTTAAGTCTGGCGATTGAACTGGCCAATCCATAACAGTTAACTTTTTGTTCTGAAACTATTAATTAAGAAGTTTGGTCGCATGTTTGGGGTTATTTTCCTGCATGAACTATCATCTTAGCTGCATTTCTTCTTCGGCATATGGTATCTTAGTGCTCTCAAGGATATTACTGTAGTCGTCGGCAAACATTTGTCCAGAATATAGGACCAACCCCAGACGACGAAAAGCATCCCCAAATCATAATATTCCTTCCACCATGCTTAACATTCTTATTCTTATATATTTTTTTCCATCTGATCCGAACATATTAGTTTTAGTTTCATCAGTCCACCGTACGTTCTTATAATACGTCAAGTCTACGTGTCGCTTTGCAAAAAACAACCTTTTTTAAATTATTTTTTGCCTAAAAGTGGAACTTTCCGATTTTATCCAACTCTATAGTTATTATTGCCAAATATTAAACAGGACTTGAAGTTTTTGCCGCATATGAACGGCGGCTTATTTTGAGCTCTTCTGCCATGCTTATGCTCCCGGAGCACATTCCAAAATATTTCTGGATGGCAAGTCTTACCTAACTCGTCTTCCGCCTTACTGGCCACTTTCAGTTTTCGCGAATTTTCTGGACGATTTATTACACGTTCGTTAAATTAAAGATTTGTATTAATCCTTTCTTATCGTGCATTCTATTCTCAGGTACAAAGCGTTATATAAGCGTCAGTAACTCATCGAATTTTAATCAGTAATTTTTCACATTTTATGTTTATATGACTTTCCTGAAGATCTCCTTGTTCCTATAGGCAAAAAGTTCGCCGATTCGATTTCCACAAGCCTCATTTGAACTTAATTTCAGCCCATCGAAAAAAGTTAGCAAAGCCAAAAACAGATGGTAATCGATTCACAATGGCTGGCCGCTTCTGTTCAAGTGCAATCTTTAATCGCTCCAGTTGTTGACAGTAGAGGTCAGAATTGATGGTTTGGCCATAGAGCACATTATTGTGGATAAATCATCTGATATCTAACCATAAACTCAGCCAAACCTTTCTAGCCGTCAATCTTGGCTTTCTCCCACCAGGATATTTTTTATCTTTGATCCATTTTTCATCACCAGTGACCAACCGATCTAGAAATGAGTCAAGTTTATTACGGTGCAGCAGAGTTTTGCAGATTAAGACGCCGTCCAAAACGTTCTTTTGAATCATGAGGCATCCTTTTTGCCTTTAAATGCCTATGGGCTGATTTAGTGGTTGGTTGGAGCTCCTCTGCGATGCTTCTTATAGTCACATGATGATGAAATAGTGGACAGAGTATTTCTATGATTTTATCCGTATCAATGGTAAATGGTCGTCTGGCGGGCTTGGGTGTTTCTGTGACAAAATTACCACTTCGGAATCGCCTGAGCCCACTGTTTAGCGGCTTATGTCGATAGTTTGTTGTCTCCATTTTGATCGATTGCAATTTTTCAGCGCGGGAATTGTAAAACTATACGTTATTTAAAGATGTTGCCAAGAATTATTAAACGATATACAGCATTGCCAGATACGATTCCATTTGCCTTCACAAGCGAAGTGCAAAATTCAGCAACCAGACCGATTACATTTTGCAAGGTAGCATCTTACCAAGCATATAACTTTGCGCGTATGAGTCTAAATTAAACCTTTTTGGCTCCCATAGTGATCACACATGAACACATATATAAGAATAAGCGTTGTCTTAAACATATTGACGTAGCTGTACTCTGCTTAGCGCTTGTGCGCGTAACTCTAAACATAGCGGCCACTGGAGCCTAACACAAATAATGCGTGGGATCTCAGCAGGTCAGGTTGTTTCTCCCCTATCGCACTCAAGAGTTTTCCCCTGCTAGGGATAAACAGAAACACCGTTGGTCAAGCGATAAGAATACAATACGAATTTTATATAATTTACCTAAGTTAAGTTGAAAATAAAACGAGAACGGAAGCTAGCTTCGGCAAGCCGAAGTTTTTATACCCGACATATAAAAATAGAAAAAAAGGGATATTTAACAATTATTCTTATGGATCAAGGTTGTGCGTAAATAAGTAAGACTTGGAAAATTTGATGTCAATAGCTTATACACTGCGCGAAATATTCTGAAAACCTCAAATTTGGACCGATTTCACCCTATTATTCATATGGAAGCTATAGGATATAGACGTCTGATCGGTGCGCCCATTTAACCTGATCAAGGTATGCATAAAAAATAAGATTTGGAACGATTTATGTCAATAGCGTGTATATCCCTATTGTTCCAATGGGAGCTATAGGATATAGACGTCCGATCGGCACGCGCTTTGACCCTGATCAAGGTATAATAAGATTTTGAAAGATGCATGTCAATAGATTTTAAACTGCGGGAAATATCTTCCATTCTTGCAAGTCATATCTGATTGTTCCTGTGGGAGCTATAGCATATAGACATCCGATCGGGGCGCTTTTCAAACTTGATCTGCGTACGGAGCATCAATTCAAGATATCGATATATCGATTTTATATTTTTTCAAAATATATTTTAATGGGAGAGGACATCACAGGCAGCTCATTTAAAATTCACAGCGCACAGTACCCTTAATATGTTGCTTTAACAAACAAGATATGAAGAAATTCCAGAAATCGAATAATTTTATCAAATCAAATTCTCATTTTTTATTAAATACATAAATGCTAAAATGAAAGCTAAGGTTTTTTATATATTTGATGCAATAATCACGAATTTGGCCAGAAAAACGGTCTTCAAGAAAAGGATTTCAAAAAATTTCCTTTTGACAATCAAATAAGTGTGTTTTCGTCTTTTTCTTGAATTTATAGTGGTTCAAAAAACCCGAAAGCACAATTTTTTGACTCTCGAAGAAATTTTTGAAATCCTGACCAGATTCGTGATTTTTGCATCAAAATATGTGTCGCAGATTATTTTAAATATTCAAATTATAACGATTATATGTTGGTACACGCTTGTTTTATTTCTTATTGCTTCTCCGTTCTTTCGTGCGAGGCGGATACACCATTCCGCCAACGTAGTCTGGGCGTGGGCATTAGTGAGACATGAGTGAAGAGGAATTGAAAAGGAACCGACTTGAGTTGAAATTCGAGATCATGGCACGCGCCAAAAAACGTTTCGCCGAAAGTCCAGTTGAGGACTCAGATAATGGATCTTTGTCATATATATAAACAAATCTTTCATTTAAGTACAGTATAATCCGGTTTTAACGACTTCGCTTATAGTGTCCGTCAGGTTATTGCGATGAAAACTCGAGGGCTTGGTTGATCCCCATACAAACTTATATTGTTAGTGCGTCTTCCGGGTATAACGACATAAAATCGTCGGTCCCTTGAAAGTCGCTATAATCGGATTCTACTGTATTTTAAAACTAATAGTATATAGAAATTCAAGTAAAATATACATTCAATACCTTACAATTTTCTGACACAGCCGTCGATTTAAATCTAATTATACATCACCATTTTTTAAAATATGCGTATTAGGTAAACTACAACTAAAATTAAATGAAATGCTAGGATACAAAAACAGTAGAAAATGACGAAAATATACATTTTTAGCATTTAAAGAATTAGAGATCACAAAATGTGTTACTTTTATTCGTACAATGTGCGGGGTGTAAGCCTTTTCGCCGTGATACACAGGGTGTATACTATTATGCAATAGAAAAAAAATGTATAAAACAAGAAAGAAAAAAAACTTCGGCAAGCCGAAGTTTATATACCTTTGCAGTTATTACAAATCGACTACATTTCGATTTCTATGCCTTTTTATTAAATAAATATTAAATACATGAATGCTAAAATGAAAGCTAAGGTTTTTTATATATTTTGATGCAATAATCACGAATTTGGCCAGAAAAACGGTCTTCAAGAAAAGGATTTCAAAAAATTTCCTTTTGACAATCAAATAAGTGTGTTTTCGTCTTTTTCTTGAATTTATAGTGGTTTAAAAAACCCGAAAACACAATTTTTTGACTCTCGAAGAAATTTTTTCAATCCTGACCAGATTCGTGATTTTTCATCAAAATATATGTCGCAGATTATTTTAAATATTCAAATTATAACGATTATTTGTTGGTACACGCTTGTTTTATTTCTTATTGCTTCTCCGTTCTTTCGTGCGAGGCGGATACACCATTCCGCCAACGTAGTCTGGGCGTGGGCATTAGTGAGACATGAGTGAATATAGGCAATACATAGGCAAAATAGTTATATTATCAAAATTTGCAGCAACTTGTTGTGTTGTTTTTTAAATATGTTTAATCTGATACTAAAAACATCTATGCGTAACGTGTATATAAATTCGGCATTGAAAAAAGTTTTCAAATGTACAATTTTATTTATTTTAATTCTTCTTGTTTTTCAGAGTATGTCAGGCAGGGGAAATTTGCTAGGTTTATTCAATCAAGAGACTCGCACTTCGGAAATTTCGTCTTCAGGTGATGATCATGAAATCGACAGTGGTTTGGATGTGGACCATTCTGGTTCCAGTGGAGGATCTCTTCGATTAGAAAAATGTATTGGAACTGATCTTCTAACCACTCTGCAGCACATAAACATATCAATCGGTCGAGGACGTGCACAGCTTTTACATACGTTAAAAAAAGAACAAAGCACATTAAGAGAAATCAATTCTAATAAATATATATTACATTCAAAAGATAGTTTTACCGAAAATTCAAAGTCACCGCCATCGGAACCATCTACTTCAAAAAATGACTTATTTTATCCCAATGCAGTCCATGGATCAAAAGGTACTATTTAAAATGCAAGTACATTAATTTTCCAAGCTACTAAAAAGTTAATTTCAATTATTAATTTATAATAGGTAGTATGTATGACAAAAGTAAGCAAGAAAACGCTTAGCAACCAATTTGGTTCCCATACCTCTCTATCCAAAAAATATAAGTTCCTAGCAGATAACATTATAACAATGTTATGTTTTTTATACCCTTGCAGTCAAAAGTTTGCAACGCAGTGAAGGAGACATTTCCGACCCTATAAAGTATATATATTCTTGATCAGCATCACCAGGAGAGTCGATCTAGCCATGTCAGTCTGTCCGTCCGTTTGTCTGTATGGAATTATGGTTTTTATTGAATTAAAATCGGACAACCATATCATATAGCTGCCATAGAAACAATGGCAAATCGACATAGCTTCATTGTTTTTAGTAATATAGGCATAGAAATCGAAATGTTGTAGATTTGTAACAACTGCAAGGGTATATAAACTTCGGCTCGGAGTTTGCTTCCTTTCTTGTTAAAAACATATTTTTTTGTTTAGATTTTCCTGTAGTTGTAAAATATGACTCTATCAGATTATATGTCCGATTTTTGTAAGTTTGATATATGATACATCTTAAATCTAGACAGAAGACATTTGGGAAATGAATGAAACAGATAGCTTAAAGACTGAAATACAAGATTGCGTAGAAAGGGATGAAAGGCAGACATGACTAAATCGGATCGCCTGGTGGATGCAGATTAATAACAGTCGTGCGGAAAATTTGGCATTATTATGTATGTACAGTCAGTATTAAATCTTTTCCATTGAAACCTTTTTGTTTGTACAAAAATACATCCTCAGAGCATCAAGTATTATGATATACATTTGAATAAATCGACACATCGATGTTGATACCTTTGATTACAAAGTGCCTTTGCTGTGGGTAAATAGTCCGAGACCAGATATATCAAATACTGCCCTGCACAGTCCCCAGGCATAAGTCCCACAAAATGTCTAAACAACTGTTAAAAAATGTTTCCAATGAGAGTACAAAGTATTAAAAGGATTTTTGTGGTAATGTCTTATAACAAAAACCCCAAGATAAGTTACTAGATTTTGGTAACGTCAACAAATTGTTACCACTAATTTTATATGTTGCTTTTTAAATTATTTTTGTAGCCGCCCTTAATTGTCTAAAATAAAGAAGTTTCAGGGCTCAATAAACGACCAACCAAATTGTAAAAAAAAAATCTTTAAGCTTTACTTTTATACCTATTTTATTTTCACAAATTATATGTGGAAAAACTTAATAAAACTAACTAGTACGACGGCAGTCCGATAAGTACTTAGCCTCACCGCCCGATGGCGTCACTATCGCAAGAGAAATTTTCTATCGTGTTGTACATTCTTGTAGACGGCTACTTTCGAAATTTCAGCCGAATCGGACTCGTAGTTTTGTTTTGACTGCGTGTGGAATCGGAAATGGAAAAAGTGCAATATCGCTCTGTGATTCGATTCTTGTTTTTGGAAGGGAAGTCGCGCAGCGAAATCAAAAAGCGCTTGGATGCTGTATACGGTGACTCTTCTCCTTCGATGCCGACCGTCAAAAATTGGTTTAACGAGTTTCAACGTGGTCGCACGTCGGTTTTTGATGAGCCACGCCCAGGTGCCCCGAAAACGGCTACCACGGAGGATAACGTGACAAAAATCCACGATCTAGTATTGGCAGACCGCCGATTGAAGATAAGCGAGATAGCAGAGACAGTAGGCATGTCAAAAGACCGCGTGGGTCATATCCTGCAAGAAATTTTGGGCATGAGAAAGATGTCGTTGCTCACTCCGGACAACAAACGCTGAGCAGTGTTTGACGCTGTTTAAGCGCAATCCGAAGGAGTTTCTGCGTCGTTTCGTGACCGTCGACGAAACATGGATCCACTGGTCCACACCAGAGACCGTTTTGGGATTCACAAGGTGTGATCTACATCGACTACCTGGAGAAGGGCAAAACGGTCACAGGGCTGTACTACGCCGAATTATTGGGCCGATTCGCCGCCGAATTGCAGAAATTACGGCCCCATTTGGCGAAGAAAAAAGTGCACTTCCATCATGACAATGCACCAGCTCAGACTTCCGCCCTCGCCAAGGCCAAAAAGGTCGAATTGGGCTACGAACTGCTACCCCATCCACCATATTCTCCAGATTTGGCCCCGTGTGACTTCTTTTTGTTTCCAAACTTGAAAAAGTCACTCGCTGGACAGAAATTTTCGTCGAATGAGGAGGTCGTCGCCGCTACAGAGGTCTATTTTGCAGACCTCGAGAAAACGCATTTTTCAGACGGGTTAAAGAACTTGGAGCATCGCTGGGTCAAGTGTATCGAGCCAAAAGGAGATTACGTTGAGAAATAAATCCCCACTTTTTCAAAATTTTCGTTTTTCTTTTGATGGCTAAGTACTTATCGGACCACCCTCGTATATCCGATTGTTCCTATGGGAGCTATGGGATATAGACGTCCGATCGGGGTGATTTTCAAACTTGATCTGCGTACACATGTTTTAGGACGAATGTGAAAGTTTCAGATCGCTAGCTTTTAAACTGAACGCGCAAACGGCATTGAAACAGACGGACATGGCTATTTCGAATCCCCTATTGATCCTGATCAAGAATATATATACTTTATAGGGTCGGAAAGTTCTCCTTCACTGCGTTTCAAACTTCTGACCAAAATTATAATACCCTCTGGAAGGGTATAAAAAAGGGATATTTTCGCAACCTTTAACAATTTTTCCTACGGAAGCTTTAAGTATAGACGTCCGATCGGCAAGCGCTTTTACCCTGATCAAGATATGCGTAAATAAATAAGACTTCGAAAATTTTATGTCTACAGCTTATACAGCAATATTCTAAAAAACATCAAATTTGGACCGATTTCACCCAATTGCTCCTATGGGAGCTATAGGATATAGACGTCCGATCAGCACGCGCTTTTACCTTGATCAAAGAAATGCATAAAAAATACGATTTGAAAAAATGTATGTCAATAAATTATACAGTGCGCGAAATATTCTGAAAAACATAAAATTTGGATTGATTTCACCCTATTGTTCCTATGGGAGCTATAGGATAAAGTCGTACGATCAGCACGCGCTTTTACCCTGATCAAGGTATGCATAAAAAATACGATTTGGAAAGATTCATGTCAATAGCTTTTACACTGCGCGAAATATCATCAATTCTTGCAAGGTACTTAGCCTCACCGCCCGATGGCGTCACTATCGCAAGATAAATTTACTATCATGTAGTACATTCTCTTAGACGGCTACTGTCGAAATTTCAGCCGAATCGAACTCGTAGTTTTGATTTGACTGTGTGTGGAATCGGACGTGAATCGGGATTTTAGAAAAATGGAGAAAGAGCAATATCGGTCTGTGATTCGATTCTTGTTTTGGAAGGGAAATCGCGCAGCGAAATCAAAGAGCGCTTGGATGCTGTATACGGTGACTCTTCTCCTTCGATGGCGACCGTCAAAAATTGGTTTAACGAGTTTCAACGTGGTCGCACGTCGGTTTTTGATGAGCCACGCCCAGGTGCCCCGAAAACGGCTACCACGGAGGATAACGTGACAAAAATCCACGATCTAGTATTGGCAGACCGCCGATTGAAGATAAGCGAGATAGCAGAGACAGTAGGCATGTCAAAAGACCGCGTGGGTCATATCACTAACCATACAACATATAGACTGGTCCATTTCATACAACGAATTTGGTCACAAAATTTTTCAATCGGGGGGCCCCAGTGCTGGAATCGGCAGGCCCCGCCACTTCGTGTGCCTTCGGGTTTTTTCGCTCTCGTTCTAATTCTTATTTTGACGCTCGCGCTCGAGTTCGGTCGTTCAGTCGCAGAGACGCGCATTTTGAAGAAGGTTGGCCTGCGCTTGAATTGGGCTTTGTATGTATGCGTGTTCATGCATTCTCATACAGGGGTGCATGTGTGTGATCATTTCATTTCGATGCAGCAAGAATATTTTGTCTTTTGCTACTTTTCAGACTTGGTACCCTAACAACATGGGCGTATTCACTATTAGGTTAATGATAAAAATAAGAATATTATATGTTATAGTATATTTTTTAATATTTCAGCATATATTTAATCTTGGTTTACAAATTCAAATCAGTGGAGCAGAAAAATGTTTTGCATATATGTATGTATTCCAAATAATATAAATCAATCTAATGAGATAGGAACAGGGCACATCGCAGTCGGTGTCTGCGCTTAGTGGTTCAGAAATATTCAAACCAAATCAGCTTTGGTTGTTGTTCTGCGAGCGGATGGTGCCTGCATACCCTACCGACGATTGAATTTTAGGGGTGGGGACAGAAACCAGAACGTTTTTTATGACACTTGTTTTGAATGTTATGTTTAATGATAAATAATTTTATAATTTTTTTTTATATTAAAAATCATTAAAAGTTTACTTCTTGATTTAAAATAGTAATATAAATTTAAGAAAATCACTTCGAATATTTTTTGTCTGTACTTTATAGAGGTTAAACAATTTGTTATTTTCCAAGATTAAAATTATAAAATTATTATATGTACATATGTATATTTATCGGTAACTAATTCATGCTTATGCGTTTCCTCTTCGGTGATTCTTCGGTGAAGGAGATATTTCAGATTGTAAATAGGATGCACTGCATTTTTCTTTAGAGGTTTCGTCTCTGGGGCCAGCTCAATCTTAAACAGTGGTTGAGGAATTTTATCCCAAAACATGGTTAACTATGCATTTGTTCGATGGCACAATGGCGACTACGGAAACCAAACTGGTGATTTGGAAAACTAATCGATCTATAGGATTCCGGGCAGGAATTTATTTTTTTGCCACCATTGTGACTAATGCACGTTTCCAAGGTGATGCAAATGACCAAGGTTAAAGCAAGCATTAAGGAGGAGACAGCGCAATGACTGAGCTAAGCAAAGCCTTTGCTACTTTGCGATCAATCGCTTCCATGCCAGGAGCTTTAGTAGT